TGGTTGGAGAGCTTGTCTGCAACTACCTATAGTATAATGTTACAGAAAGCAAACATCTAATGTTGTTGTGTGTTTCAAATTACATGCATATTTTTTCATGTCAAGTCCAGGAGTTGTACATAAACTTCCGCATGAAATAGATCTGTGATGCTTGATTTTTGGAACAAACACAACAAATGTTTTAGTCCATTCTTTAAGGGTTTACACCCAAAAATAAGGAGTTTTACAGCAGTACAAGCACATCTACTTATGACTTTAGGCAGCATTACACTGTCATCTGCATACAGTATGATCAAATGCTAATCATGCTACTTTTACAAGCTTATTTTGTGCAGGGAGAATGTCATATATTCTGCTAAAATATGTTCAGTGTCAATTCCAGAGAGCTCTCTTGAAAGCGGCAGTATTTCACTGTAATACAAGTGTACACATATAATAAATACAGTGTATGTCTGTAGGTGGCAAACAGCTCAATTCAAGCAGTATATTAGAGTTGGAAAATCATTTAATGCCTTGCTAATTGCAGGTTTAAACATGTATATTGCTAATTTATTCATTTACTATTAATAGAATATAGTTATTTTTAATTCAACCAAGCAAAACAAAAGATGATGTCACTGGCTGGCTATGTGTTCCCCTTATATTGAAGGTGTGACTTCAGCGAGATCAACAGGTTCACCGATGAGATAACTTAGAACCGTGCAGACTCTCCGCTTGGCTTCCTGTCTCCGTCCCTCGCTCTGGATAACCAGCACAATGACTTAAACTCAGGCCTGCTCTTTTTAACATGCTTTGCCATTGATAAAGAGATTAGAATCAAGCAGATTAAAACACAGTCAGGGGATTATCCTTGCTTACTTTTTACACAGTGCACTAAATCTGCCAGGTCATCAAGTGACACTGCACAGGGTCCAACGGCAATGTCAACATCAATTATATTTGTACTCTTACGCAGCACAATTCTTACATACAGAGATCTACAATTTGTTAACAAAGTCAATGTTGACTAGGGGAGTGACTCATAGAAATACACTGGGTGATGGATGTCTGTGTATCATTCAATCTCCCAAACTGAACCAAAGAGATTTGGCAGACATATTTGAGCCTCAGAGGTAGAGACATGTTCCCAGGCCAGGAGATGATGTAATTTACTCCAGGATGGGCAGCTGTCCTGATGACAGTTTGCCGTCCAGAGAGGACCTCTGCACCCAGTGGTGTATAGGAACAGGGCCAACCGGATTATCATCAGTGTCCCTAAACGCCCCACAAACTCTTCTGCTGTCTGGCAGCTATTGCACCACCAAGCTTATGGACATTACATGCTGCATGACAACAATGTTGAACTCTTGAGAACTGTGCTTTTTTAATGCTTTTACATATCTGGATTTATATGTATACTTTGAATTATCCGTATAGATTTACTACATTCAAATGACTAATCTGAAATGTACCGTATAATTGATATGTCTTTTATTCATGTTATATTCTATCCCTACTATTAACTTGCACTATTTTAGTTTTGACTCTTTCGTTTTGTTTAACTTGTTTTATCTTGTTTTTTATAAAAGCAATGTTGGTAGAAGCCTGAGACTGAGATGTTCCTTGCATGTATGTAATTATCTAATTTAAATGTCGACGTTACCATTGCGCATATGATAATACAGCTTGCGCAGCTCTATAATAATAGCAGTATATGCACTGTTCTATTAGTAAGAAAATAAAAGCAATTGATTTAGCAAACGCTGTTGCTCCATGTTTGTGTGTGTGTGTGTGTGTGTGTGTGTGTGTGTGTGTGTGTGTGTGTGTGTGTGTGTGTGTGTGTGTGTGTGTGTGTGTGTGTACTATAGTGACAGAGTCAACATGGTGTAGGCCAGCGGTGTAGGCCTACTGCAGTTATTTAGGTCACTGTGCTTTTCCACCTTCAGGGTGCTCCGCTGCCCCCCAGCGGCAGAAACAGGGACTGCAGCTCCTCTGACTTCATGCAGTGCAGAGGAGGGTGCATGTTTATGGGAATTAATGAGTCATTACTTTAAAAGCATTAACCCTCAGGTCCCTCATGCACGTTGTGCTCCCATGACATCTTGGTTTGAATGATAATGACATCAGCGTTACCGTAGAAACCGAGCATGGAGAAATTAGACCGTCCAATCTAAACATGACATAATCATAACATAAATAAATAAATGTGGAAATAAATACAGGAACAAATAAATGCATAAATAAATAAATAAATGTGGAAATAAAATACAGGAATAAATAAATGCGTACATAAATAAATGTGGAAATAAATACAGGAATAAATAAACACTAGAAAAAATTAACAATTGTATAAATACAAAAATATAAATTGAGAATAAAACAGGAGACCTTTAATGTATTTTTACATTTATTTTTTACTAACATTAATATATTTATTAATTTCTGTGTCTGTGCATGTTTCACACAGTGTTGTTCTGCTTGGTAGCCTTGTATTCTGTGGATACGACAACATTTATAACAATTTTACTTTCAATTGCTTTGAAAGTTGTGCATGTGTCTTTAACAATATCATTGCTATGATATTTTATTTCACTTCCTCTGACCGGTCCGCCTTTTATTTGGAAGCTTTGTGTCAAGTTGTAGACAGTGCGAGGAGGAGAAACACAGTGACTCTTCAATACATATTTTAAAGGGCCCATGTCATGCTTTTCCGGTTATTACCCGTCCCCTTGTGTGTTATGTAGCTTTGTATGCATGTAAACGGTCTGCAAAGTAACAAACCCTCAAAGTACACCCTGTAGCGAGTAAAACTCTAACACAGAAAAGACCTGTCTATGCTGCCCCAGAACGCCTCGTTGGAGATTTCTCTTTTTCTTCCTCGGTACAGTGACGTGCCCATACCCAAATGGACCCATTGGTCCAAATGGACCAATCCGTGGAGCCGTTACGTCCGCGGAGCCGTTGGGTTAAGTCCGTGGATTGGTCCAAATTGACCAATCCGCTGACTTCCTCACACACACACAATCTTTTCTCAGCTGCAGCTCCGCCGATTTCTCCTCCCTGAGACGGCGGGACGCGGCGAGGCTGGGAGTCGGTGTGTGAGCACACACAAACACCCAGCCAGGCTGCGGGTGTGTGTGTGTGTTCGGGCTGGGTTTCGCTGTGTCTCGCAGAAAGTCACTGGGCTCACAGGGAGGGGGGGGGGCAGGAGCTCCAACAAGCCCGTTTAGGACAGAGTGAATACACCATACTTTACAGAGATGCTGTATGAAGAAACCAATACGATTTTGGAAAAATTGGCACAATGTAAATCTATTTTAGTAAACCTCAACAATGGAATTATGATCAGTAGAAATGGCCATGAAATGGGACCTTTAATTACATATTTTTTGGGATTTACTTTTGATGTATTTGGCACAAGAAGTACATCTTCACCTCGGGAGCCCTCAGAGCCAGATATAAATGTCAACAAAATACACATTTTATTTGGATAATGAATTACAGCAGCCAGGAAATATTCATATAAACATAAGTAAAAATTCAAAAGGGACAACTAAATATTCCAAAACTGTGGAGCATTTAAAAAAGGTAAATTATTTCCATGAATACGCCCATACAAAAAGTGTTTGTTTGGGAATATATTAATTATTGGGCAAGTGCAATAGGAATAAAATAAATAAACCTAAACCTTTCCTTACTCTTGCTNCACTGCTCTGTTTTCTGCACGGACCTCACAGCTTTTCTCACTGTAAACAGCGCGTCGCGATGAAAGCAGTTAATAAAATAATATCCAGGGGATGCATGCAGAGCTGTCATTGGCTGAGATAAGTCCGGCCGTGCGTCACGACTCTTTGAAACATCTCTGTTCCCGGAAATGCATCCGCGAAGGACCATGGAGGACCCATCAGTGTATCCTCGGTTATAGCTCCTCCAGAGAGCTTCCTCGACGCTCGATCCTCGGTCCTCGAAGTGCATTTAGAGAAATTAGATGTCCTTCAACATGGCTTGCTGAAATTCATTTCCGGGTCACTACCGGAGGACCGAGGAGTCGAGGAGGGGGATTTGATTAAATGAGAAAGGGCCAAGGAGCTGTTTGTTCCACAACAAGCTGGAGGAGGGTCCTTTCCTCTCAGACTGAGAGACTCAGGTGAGCCAAAGGACTCTCTTGAGTGTTTAGATAGTTCACTTTAGTCTTGCATTCACACCTAATAGTCCGCTTCTCAGGTGCGCACCAGACGACAGTTTGTTACATTGTTTCATTTTTCAGAAGGTTCGGTTTGCGTTCACACGGTCAAAACTCAAACGGACTATAAACTTTAAACACAAGCCATTTGCACGGAAATGCTGTTTAACCATTGGTCAGACATTAAGGGGGTAAAAACGCAAATCCCGGCAATTTCTACCGGAGCCTCCGCCATGGAGCATCGGCACTTTCGGCAGGTTATTCTCATGCTGCTGTTAATCTGGAGATCAACAGACACTAGCGGCCCGTGCATATGATTATATAATCAGACAACGTCCGTTAAAAAACATTATTACACATATAATGAGAGACGTTCTGCAGTAAGGAGGGGCGTTTCACCGACGACAGGTGTTCTTACTTTTATGACAGAGCATTTTTACTTTACACGACACTGTTCAACACTTCATTCTGCTTCACTCTTTAACTAAACAACCGCGGATGTCTTGAAAGACTCTTTTGCTAAAGATTTTTGAAGACATCCGCGTTCTTGTGACACGTAAATACTAGGCTTCCTATGTTTTGTTGCGGACTGCGTTCACACCAGCAATGAACCGCTCCAGAGTTCGCAAGCAAGCGCTCCGAGACCACCTATTTTAGCGGACCAGAGTCCGGTTGTTTAGTTCACTTAAGAGGTCTCGGACTGTGTTCACACCGACCCAAATGGACCGCACTAAGCGGCTAAACGCACCAGGGTTCGATTCAACCGGACTATACAAGGCAGGTGTGAACGCACCCTAACACTCGGACAAATGCATGTGTTTCAGTAAAACATTGATGATCAGCTGTTCTGACCTGCGGGGTCGGTGAGCTGCTCCTGTCTGATCTCCTTCAGCTGGAGGATCTTCTCCAGAGCCTGAGGGATCTTTGGTCCGCTGATGCTGACCTCCTCATTCTGCCAGGCCTGTAGTGGAAGCAAAACAAGTTTGTAACTAAGATAGTAGCACAGGTAGTCTCCCGCTGTCAGTCAAGAAAAGATCAGAGTCCCTGAAGAACAATCTAGGTCCACATTAACACTAGAAATGTATCTTTATTTTAAAGCTGATGCTCAATCCAACTTTTGCTTGATTTAGGAAACTAATGTATGTACGAGTGCCGTCAAAAGGGCAACAGAAAACAAATCGAACAGTAAAAGCACAATTATGAAAAGGACAGAGCATTAAAAGCTAGCCTGTGAAGATGAGACTTGGTCAGTGTAGCCTCTGTATTCCAACTTATAAAAACACTTTGGGGGGTTCTCCTTACCTCTCTGTTATCTTCTCCTGGAGGGGGGGGCACTCTCTGTTTCTGGGTCGGCATCATACTGACACCAGGAGGCAGCGGCCCACGAGGATCCATACCTGCAGCGAGACAGTTTGCAGGTGATGAACTCAGGTGATGAATTGTGCAAAAAAACACTTTTCATGGGTAAGGAAACAAGCAGCAGGGGTAAGATGTGTGAATATTATGAAGACATCGCTGGCTTACCTCTCATTTGGCCGCCAGGCTGATGACGCTCGTGTTCCATCATCGCTGCCTGATATAAGAATAAAGGAGATGGCACTTTAAATACATAGTTATTAAAAATGAGAATCGAATGTGTAAGAAAAAGGGAAAACGGTTTTAGTTGTGAGGTGAGATTTTTAACCTTTTTAGATAGTACTAAAACTATTTTCTAACAGTGTTTGTTACAGAAGCCGGTACTGTTTGCCAATTGTAAATACATTGAGAATAAAAAGTGATTTGTTGTTTTTAGACCCTACAAGCTCACAACTGATTGCACCTTAGTATTGTGTTTAAAGGGAACAGAACTTGACCTGCTGCTTGGCTCTCTCCTCCTGCTGCAGCACCATGGCCGCTCGGTGCTGGGCCATCTTCAGCTGATCGTCCTGAGACATGCCAGGAGGGCACATACCCGGGGGCTCCATGCCCATGTGGATGCCAGGTGGAGGGGGACCCCCGGGCATCATGCTCATAGCCTGGAGCATGCCCATACCAGGAGGCATGGGCGGCATGGGCATCGGGGGCAAGGGAGGGATACCGTGCATCTGGAGGGGAGGGAACACAAGAGACAGTGAGGATGATGAAGTGTTTGAGAATGGAGATTCCTTTATTCATCGCAACTGAAGGGTTTTAATTTAAGCGTGGAATATTTGTGCTACACATCATTACACTTCCTTAAAAAGGTGTAAAATGAAAATATATCATGCAATTTGAATATGCATCATCGGGAGCCAATACACACAAAGCTGATAACATCATGTCCAGGAAATCTGTTTAGAGCCAACAGCAGGGTGTGTAATCCGACTATATTTACATCAACAATGTGAGAACATGGTGCATGACAAAACAATAATGAACATATAAAAAGTTTCACACATATTCAGCTTTTACCTGGGAGCCCATTGACTTCTCATCCTTATGTTTGCTGACGAGGATCCCAGTCTGCAGAGAGAAGGACGCACAATTCGGTGAATACTTTTGAGCTAAGAGTTTTTGATCAACAGCATCTAAGACTTAGATTGTACAATAAAGGTGTATTATTTTCAGCATGCATGGTTAACACTTAAGGCACAGAGTTAGCCGTTTACCTGAATCATGTAGCCCTTCAGTCTGTCAGTCAACTCCTCTCTGAGACCTGAGGAATGACAAACAAACTTAACTACAGGAAGAAATGTACATTGTACTTGTAACATTTTGGTTGTGTTTTCCAAGTTTCAAAGGTTATTGAATAATTGATTTAGATGTTGTCATGTTTTCATTTAGCTAAGTTTATACTTTATTTCACCTTTTAAATATTGTAATGCCAGAAAAGACTGCTGCTGTAACAAAATATTTTTCCAATTTGGGAGCAATACAGTGTCTATCTATCAACACTAAACTGACTTATAATGTATAATGGCTTAGATGACCCTTCATTCAAGTTAGCCTGTAAGCTAACAGCTACATTGATAGCTGTTTAGCTACAACACAGTATGTATGTTTCTAGTGCTGCTTAAACACAATAAATTGGTGTATGTACTGCATAGTAAGAAACTGAATATACCGTTTAAAAACTGTAAACACAACTAAGGCCTAGCCTCAACTCATTGCAACGATAGTTTTGCGTTTTGCTAGCTAACATTAGCAACTAGCTAGCTACTGTTAGCTAAACACAGTCCTTCTTCCAGCATGGCTCTCCGTCTTCCCTTTTTTTTCTTACCCATCGTAGGCGCTCCAATCTCCGCCAGCTTGGTCTGAAGCTCCCGGTGGGTCCATGAGTTCAAAGCTGCAATAGCAGTGCCCAAATCGGACGGGGCTTGGTCGGTACCCGGTGGTCCGTCGGATGCCATGTTCAGGTTCTCTCAATGAAACAACGGCGGAAAACACGCGAGTGGCGCAGAAACGGGACTAGCGCAAAGCATGACGGGAAGCATCCTGCGGCACTGACTGCTGGGACATGAAGTCCGAAAAAAGAAAACATTGCATTTATTACCTCTAGCCACTAGAGGTCAGTGTTGACAACTTGAATAAGGCTTGTCAGATTTTAAAATGTACAGTTTTTGTGTAATAGGCCCACAATCACTCGTTTTGAATAATCGTTTAAAAAAACAAAAAACATTCAGTTGGATTTTAATGGAAGCTTTTTAGTTAATTTTGCTACTCACAGCTTTAAAAAGGTTTGTTTGAAGAATGTATAATATATCATTAGGCGATGCTGCAATCTGCAATAATGTTGTACATTAAGGGCAATATTTTCCTCTAAAATTAAGGATAACGGAATTTAAAATCAGAAGATCAACATAACATATCATTTGTCACATTCAAGCACTGAAAAGGGGGAGGTCTCCAGGCACAATACTGTTTTTTATTGTGAAAACTTTATATCATGTCAATGTAATTACCTACAGTGAGTTATTATTCAACCCGGCAACACTGCACAGCTTTGGGCAGAAATCAGGGGCGAATCAACTTCATGAAAGCTGCGAGAATAAAGCCCTCCTCTTCGGTGTAGTGTGTTTTATGACTAGCGGGCATTGCGCAGACGCAGAGTGAGGTCTGCACATTTGATCATATAGATCAGGGCAGAAGCAGGGCGTTTCTAAAGAAATACGCTGTTAGAGAGCAGAGGAGGGAGTAAAGCCCACGCTAAGCATGGAAGGAAAGTCAAATTGAATATTGAATGTCTAAATAACTGCATTTTTAAGGAAACGTCCGGAAAGGTAATTATAACATTCCTTCATCCAGTCTGGTTTGTGTCGCGCTGCAGGAAGCGATCTTAAAATGCTTTTGACATAGCCTGAACTTTTAGAAAACACCAATGAGGAGATCTTAAAGTTTGTGTTGTGGAAACTGCTACCACCCATGTAAAGCAAACTCTTAGCAGTCGGGTACAACTTTCGCGACTCCATTAAACGGTGATCTGTGCCCATGCGTTTAGTTGCGCAAAATCTCTTGTTTTCGCTTTTATTCTGCTCACTGTATGCATCTTTGATGTGAGGGGGATGAAGTGAAGCGAAAAAATGTCGAACATCTGTTCATGTTGGTCAATTTGAGAAAGTTGCAATCTGACAACTGGACACTGTCTGTTTCTCCTCTCAGGGACCACACCTACCATCATGCTAATCTGTGTGACCCATGCACGGGTGTAAACAGTCTGAAATGGCTTGATAACCACTATAATTAAACCACTCAAAATAGTACATGGACCCCTCATATGTGTGTTTGAAGCGAATCGCTGCTTCCTACTTTGATAAAGATCACTCCAAAAGTCAGCATTTTCTCTCTTTTGTGGACACTGTTTGTGTCTAGTTGCTCTGCAGATCTATTTTCCCCCATAGCTTGAAACAAACACTTTTGGTATCTCATTTCAAAGTGCTTGGAATATGAACTCTGCATGCAGAAATACACCAGAGGGAGGTCAGAAATGCTTACTCACAACATAAACACTGGAGCTCACACACAGTTGCAAGCAGCATGTATATAAGCAGTCTGAGTTCATGTGTGTGTTGTGAGAAGGAAACCACATTGGACACAGACTCACATCAGCAGAAAAGCAGTAGTGACATACTGTATTGACGTTTGTATCCTTGTTTGACTTCTGGTAAACTCATGTGTGTCCGTCATTCTGCATATTTTTCCATTTAAAGCTGCCTATCATTGATCAAATAGCATAACACAGGCTAAGAATAACACTTATGTATGTAACCTAATGCAATACATAGCTTTGACATAATACAAAAACAAACTATTTTATGGTTTGGGTGCACACATATTTACTTATCTATTTGAATAAGCTCATGCAGTCTTGAATATTTTTCTGTATTGGAATTGTGTGGTTTTTACTCTAGCTGCTGGCTTCTCTTTGTGTCTGGATGTGTAGTCTCCTGCTTGTCATTTCTCATAGATGTCACTACCTGCACTGAGGTGGAGGATATCTGTGTGTGTGTGCGGGAGTGTGTGTGTGAGGGGTTTCATGGAAGTGTATTTCACATGCAAGGCTAAATTAAATATTCATTACAGCCAGATTGAACTAACAATGGGCAGAGTGCGCCCCGATAACACGCAGCCAAGATGAAAACCACCAAATGTTTGGGATGTAGGCCTATGGAATATGTTTTACTTTGTTGTTGGGTACATGAGTTAATTTCCTTTAATAACTGTTAGTTATAAACTACTCAGCATTAGGTATATTTGGTGCCTTAAAATGTGATTATGTTGGCTATTTGTACTGAATATTTATGACAAAACAAAAAAATGACATGTCGTGGTAATTTATACAAAGAATCCATATTACTAATAAATATTACATTACTTTTGTTACCAATGCCAAAGTGATTTTTAATAATTAATTTGAAGAATAAACAAGTCTGAAAATATAGGCCAAATTCTCATTTAAATCAGAAAGTGTTTGGTTAAGAAAGTAAACATCTGCAAACAAATTCAATGCTAATGTTAGCTTCCACTCCTCGGTTTTGATAGTTGATTCAACAGTACTGCACATTTTGGTCTGTAACAAAAAATAATTGTGTTTAGTAGCAAAATATTAATGACAGCTAAAGTATCTGTAGTTGTGGTTTAATAATAACTCATAGAAATGACAGAATAGTAAACTTTTATATATTTTAGAGTGAAAGTAGGAGTTGTAGCATTAGCAGTGCTAGTGCTACAACTGCTAGCACTACTGTACTACTGCCTTGTAACAGTTCAAATAATTGTAGTACTCATGCTAGGTAGTAGTAGTTGTAGTACTCCCCTTTGCTAGCAGCAGCAGGAATGGACATCATATTAAATCTCTCATTATAACTGCAGTCTGCAAAGTTGAACATCTTAATGTGATGTCGTAACCACATGTTCTGTTAGCAGCCACATTTTTCACTCAGTGAAACAGAGATGTTTGTAATGGGTGTGGTGCACGGAGAGCAATGGAGTTCCTCTGAGCCAATAAGAGCCAAACTATTTTTTAGCTTCTGTTGACAGGCGGCTGAGTCTTGAAACAGGAAGAGTTTTCAGCTTGGATAGTGTAATCGGTGTAGTAAAAAAGAGACGGGGCTGAAATACATTTGAAAAAAAAGGAGAGAAGTTAAAAATAAACCATCCGTTTCTGTGTGTTAGAAGAAAAAAAAAAGCGAAATCTAAGAAGACAAAGAGATTAACTGTTGTAAAGCTCCAGTTCTGTCAAGAGCTTCCATGGTAATAATGACAGTTTACACTTCCTTCTCCCTGGTTCTGCTTAATTAAAGAGCCTCAGAGAGCTTTTGCTTGTTCTGGGTTAGAGCTGCCTTCATTGTTCATCAACATTCACACAAAGAGCACCCTTTTTTAGCCCTTTGCTCAATGAATAACCCCCCCACCCCTTCATGCACAGAGCGGCCATCCACCAGTTCGTTCATACACCTCTTCTGATTAAACTTTTACTCTGATTAGCTTCTGACTGACACCGTGTACACATTCAGTGGCACACAGTCAAAGTAGCACGGCCCTGCCTATTGTGACTAATCCCTTTGGCATGTGTGTATATAGTTGACTGAAAAGAAATAGGCAGGGCTCGTTTGCCTTTTTAAACCCTGAATGCACATACTGTATAGACGTTACATATAGGTGTTGCTTTTGTCCAGGTAGAGCTATTTATGGACTGTCATCTCTGCATACTTTCAAATGTTTTTACTTCTTTCTTTTAGATTGTATCTGCTGTTGGGATCAGGACGCACCCCTCTCCTGTTGACATCTCCTCAGAAAAGTGATTGGTTCTCACTGGGACGAACTGCATTCGCCATCTCTCTCCAGAGCCCTTTAATCTTCTGCATTTGGAGCCCCTACACTTGTGATTGTTATTGCATTTGAAGCACCCAGCTACAGCATAACCACACATACTGCAACGAAGCAGCAGCCTGGTCAATATTTCATAGCTTCCTAATGGCCACTAATGTTTCATTCTCATTTATGATCAAGCCTTGAAGCCATTAGCACACCATATCAGATTTACATAAGCACTGTCGGGGGCTTTACATTAAAACTGAAGCTACACAGTTGCCACATTAATCATTGAGACATCCTAACATCGTATTGTAGTTTCACACCTACAAACGTCCGACAGAGAGTGACAGCCGACCCTACAGTTCCTCTCAAAAGCTCAGGATGGAGGAGCCCATTGTCGCCACGGGTATGGCCGCCAAGCTGAGGAGCCAGTGGGACCGTGATGAAGGTCTGGGACAGAATCACAAGGCCGTGAAGTTTTTGGGTCAGGACTACGAGAATCTGAAGGCCCAGTGCCTCCAGGGCGGGAGGCTGTTTGAGGATCATTTGTTCGCTTGTGTCACATCGTCTCTGGGATTCGACGAGCTCGGCCCCAGATCCGCCAAGACCTCCGGCGTCCGCTGGATGAGGCCCACGGTGAGAAATGGAGGGGTCTGGTTAATTTTGGCTGGAAATGTGTCGTAGCTGGGATATTTCTTAACAATTCAGACTTTTAAGAGAGTTTTGTTTGGAGTGGATAGTGTTTAAAGGTCCCCTATTATACTCCTTTGTCAACAATATATTAGGTCTCAGATATACCCAAAGCATGTCTCTGAAGTGTTTGGCTTCAAATACAAAACAGATAATTGTAGCATCCCAAAAACCCATCTGTTTCAGCCCAGCGGCAAAAGTGTTGATTTTGGCGATAAATGCTAATTAGCTGCTGCTGGCCACGCCCCTCTGAGAGATATTTGGTTAAAAAGAACACAATGGTGCTCTGGGAGGAGATTCAGGTGATAAGGTGGGCGGGTGTTACCTTTGGTGGTTATTGGCTAATGGTTACACAACCCAAAAAAACACATATTGGCCAAAATCGGATTCTTTTTTCCAGAAGCGTACGAATCTCTTTACACAGGGACACATATTTAAGTATAAAAGACATGAACAAGTGGATATTGCACATTAGGTGACCTTTCAAGCTTAAAAATTGTGCAAAATAAATCCTACGATTGTTGAATCTTGAACATTTTAGATAATGGGCCCTTTTTTGGATTTTTCGGCAATTTATGATCATATGTAAACTTAACATACTGTATAGTATATCCAATAATAAGCACATGGACAATAACATGCAAATAAGAGGCAATGGCCCTTTTTACTTTAAGAGTTTGTGAGAAAGCTAAACTAACTTTATACGTGATGATTTCATAAAATCCCTCAGACATTGACTTATAGCTCTGGCAGTGAGCAGGCAACTCTTATTTTATCTGTCCAACTTTTTTGTTACCTGCTAGAATATTTTTTCATCATCCCAAGCAGCTCTTCCTCTGCTTGAATTTCATCTGTTGCTTGGCAACAAAATGTTCTGCCCGGGATGATTGGTCCATATCATTTGAATGTTCCCCGCAACACCAGTCAGGAGTGTGTCGGAGAGGTTTCTTACTCTTCTTCCTGCTTTTCATTGGCCCAAGTATCTCCTCAAACCTCCAATCCTTCCCTGTGACTGTATCTGCTCAAAAATACCCCAGAATAAAGTGAACTGACTTCATTATGTGTTATCACGGCAGCCCTGAAGAGACCCATTAGGGTTCGATTTGCACATACCGTGACAGGTCGCTGCAGTAATAGAGCAGAGAGCCAAGTCGTGACCTCAGGGGGTCGTGTTAGCTCGAGAGCTGCTGTGTGTTGCGTGTAGACCACTAGTGTGTTAACGTGTGCTGCTGTGAATCTAATGCTTCCCGGAGTGTCGTTTTTTCAATAAAGTACTGATGTTTTATAATGCATGAGCCCAGTCTGCACAACAGGATCTTTAATATTTACGCCGCACAAGAGACATCGTACATGGTGTTCACATTTCCCCCTAAATCTGTGCTCTGATTGAACCTGAAAAAGAGAACTTAAAGGGATGGTTTTTGAAGAGGGGTTACATAGGGGTACTTATTTATAGTAAGTGTAGTAGATGGGGGTTTGCACGCTCTTACTTTGGAGAACCAGAAAGGAGTACTAGCAGGAAGCTAAGCAATATACTATTGGCAATAAACATATTCAAGCCACCTAATATCAGTTATATTGTAATTTAATTGGAAGGGCTTGTCTGACATGAAGAGAAATCAGTGAAAATATTCAAAATGTATCGTAAACTAATACTAATTTTTAGGTTTCTAAAATACTTTTTGATGCGGTTTCCATTACAGCCGTACATTGCTTAGCTTTGTGCTTTTTACTTGGTCTGTTTCTGAAAACCGGGGACGTTTTCACTGCCATCTACTTAATACATCGATGAAGGTTGGGTACCCAATTCAAAAATACGAACTGTCCCTTTAAGCCTGTGTGTGTGTGTGATTGAGTGTTTCTGTGAATTCAACCATGTGCACAATGGTGTATTTACAACTGTGTGTGTTTGTGGTGCACAGGAATAAATGCAATATTTCTTTTTATAGCTCCATGGGAGGTTTCTCACGCTATTCATGCTGAGTCGTAGATGGTTTAGGAGGCAGGAAATACTAAGGAGAACGCGGACAGGAGACACACACTGAAGTGTCTACTTCATAATCTGCATAATAAGCACGTTTAGACACATTACCGATATGTATAAGAAAACTAACAAGTAAACCAGTGGTTACTCGTCAATTTAGCTTAAAAAATAATGAATAGACCTTTTTAAATGGAAGACATTTCGACTAACAGTATGAAAAGCACAGCTTTAAACAATTAAACTAATCTGGGCTGAATTCTATTTAGCAGAACAGAACAGAGCCTTGTTAGCGTTATTAGTAACACCTTTGCTTTACCTATTGTGACCAATTAAATGCTGTAAGATAGGCCTGTAAAACAGATATCCTGTAACTTAAAACAGACTTATTTGAGACTTATTTCTGGAGTTTAAATGTATGTTCTGCATCAGAAAGCAATCTTAAAGCATACTGTGGAGGTTTTCTTTGACATTGTGACTTGTTGAAACCTGTGTAATCCATGCATTGTGTACTTTCTGTGAATAGTCATCGCAGTCAGCATGAGAAACACTGCTCATGTTGTGAGCCTGTAAAATGGATATCTACAAGCAATAATTTATTTGTTTGTTTGTGTTTGTTCTCTCAACAGGAGGTCTGCAAGCGCCCCGAGTTCATTGTAGACGGAGCCACTCGCACAGACATCTGTCAGGGATCTCTGGGTGAGTTCCCATCTGTTTCACTCTAACTACTGCATCATCCAGCTATTAAAGGTCAGGAGAGGAGAGAAAAAACTTAAATGTAATCCTGTAAAAAGTGAGAAATGCTGATAAAAGCCGGAACAAACAGGTGATTGAATAGAGGCATGCAAATGGTTACAATCCCATTTCCTGATGCAGGAAATAAATAAAAATATGTAAACGTTGTATTTTCATTTTATTTGATGAGTGAGACTTGTAAACATACTTTAGCAATTCAACTTTTCTAGTTTTCTTTTACAACTTGTTTTTTTTGCACTTTATAATTTTTTATAATTTATTTTACACATTTTTATAATTTATTTAGCATTTTTAAACAGATAAATTGTACATATTTGTTCACTATTTTAGTTTTTTTCTATATATTTTTGTTTCTCTGCTTTGGATTTGTTATCATAATTCTCTATTTAAATTTCTGCCATTGCCACAGGTTATTTTTCTCCGACTTAAGCCTCTCCAGAGCCACATAATAACTGTTTCAAAAGATTAAGAAGTACCACTTAACTGTCTTAATGTGTACAATTGATGTAAGCACAATTCAAATATTGTAAATCATGATATTTAGTCAAAAGTAAAGAACATCAATGCATATAGAATATTATTTAACAGCTCCAAATGCATCCATGTCAAGAACCCACCTTCCATGTGTAAATAAGACCATAGCCATATTGCGTACAGTAAGGATTGAAGCATGGCTGATAAGAGGCAGTAGAGTGTCAGATGGAGATGGACAGCCTGAAGGAACGTGAACAGTTCATAGCCTGAGATGTTTCCTGCTCGACACAGAGCTGCATCTATAATTCATGCTTTGTTTCTCTGCCGCACATCTGTAAAC